TTTGTGTTCGGGGCGTGCAAGAAAATTACGGTATTCGTGTACAAAAGTGAAATTATAGAAAATGACAGCGGTTTCAAAAAAAAAAAAAAAATAAAAAATAAAAAATAGAACACCTGTTGATTTTGTAGACGTTCAGGGTATGCATACCTTACAGCCCTCCATGTCTACGCCTATGGCGACAATGCAGTGTTAGCGTCCCCTGACCAAGAACCGCTCCCCCCTATGATTCCGGTCAGTGGTCACCATTAGCGTGTATGACACGACTAGAGATGGATGCTCAGTAAATTTACCAGGTAAACTTTACCGGTAACGTAAATTTACGTAAATTTTACCGATATTTTTTTTTTACCGTTCTAAAAATCGAAAGACCGTTTATTTGAAATATGCTAACTAGTAACGTTTCTATGAAATTATCCGTGGTCGATACGTCAATATATTACGAGAACCTTACCACCAACTGTAGTGTAATGGATGCAAGGACATGGTGAAACGGAATCTGCTCTAATTCAAAATTCTTTGCAGTCGCCTCAGCTATAATTTCCTTACCGGTATCTTCAGCTACTACTGAAATATCCTTTAGTGTTTACTCCCATATTCACAATAAAAAAAAGAAACCGATTAACCAACACTAATACCTCGAAACTACTTTTTATTTTAGCTAATACGAATAATATTAATTTCTTAAATCCAGATAAAAGTAATAATAAAATAACACCATCAACTTCTACCAGTTCTAGCAGTTTAGTATCAAAGAACTATGTTCAGTCAATAAATAAGTTAGCAACAGATAAATATCTGGAAAATATTGACGAGAATGTAAAAGTAGATGATAGTGAAGACACAAAAGAAGATAATTATGATACAGAAGATTTAGTTAAATCTGATAATTTATCAGAGGAACATAATATTATAAGCGATGATAAATTTTATGAAGCACACTTTAAATAGGTTTATAAATATAATTGTTATTAAATAAAATGTAAATTAAGGTATTTCAGTATCTGTAAAGTAATAAAGCTAATTATAAATATATTTATAATAAGTTAATTTTTGTTATTTTTCCTTAGTTCAAATAATTTCAAATTTGCATAATTTATTCATCATACTACTCATATTTATACATATTTAAATATAATACTTGAGGTTAGATGTGGACAAATATCCAGTGGTAGTATTGGTTAACCGAGTTATAAACATATTATTATGGTCATAATAAATAATAATAATTTTTTTTACGGTAAAATTCACATCACTAGACACGACAAAACGAACGCGAAACATTGTGACGTGTACGATGGGTTGCTGCATACACATTTCGGTCGAGAAAATATAACCGTGGTTTTCTTAATTTTCCGAAGCCTACTAAAGTATGTAACTCTTAAATCAAACTTTATCGTATCGGACTACTTCTATTCTAGTCCTTCATTTTCCATCATATCCTCTTCTCCGTCCTTTCGTTTGTGTTCGATATTTTTCCTTTTTCAACTCTGTTCCAGATTATTTTTTTTCTCATATCGACCTTCTTAGTTTAACCGCTCATTATAGAAACCCGTTAAGTTCAGAACTCATAAGAAACTAATAATAAAATCCCCATAAGTTATGTCACATGTGGAGTTAATGTTCTAAACAAAAAACGATGTACCTACTAATAAAATACAAGAAAATTAAAAATATTTGTTTCAAAATGTCTGTGTCTTATGGGTTTTCTGTAACAATCGATTCAATTTTTATTTAATCACCAACATTATACTCATCATTAATTATTCTATTACCGTCGACTTTATAATACGAACCTATATTGTAAATAATTATTAAGTTATAATAACTAAGATGAATCCTATATAATTAACAATTTATGATAAAGTTGCTATATCAGAGTTATTTACTCGTCGTCACCGTACAGCTTTTGTATTATACAACAAACGACCTTCGAAATATACCAGTATTATGTGAATACTTAGTTTCATATTATATATACCTCTCATCGGTATCATCACGTGTACTTGTCGATGAGCTAGATTAATGGTGAGTGGTAAAATATTATTTATTTAAATTTATTCATTATTCATTATTATGTGTTCGAAAATATATTACTAGTAAAATGTTGTTATGTATGATTGAAAAATAGCAAAACATAATTGTTTGAAATATTTTCACCTAATTAATACAATTTTTTTTTTTTTTTTTATTAATGAGATTTTAACGTTAAATTATGATATCTCGACAATTATGTACATGAATTTGAAATAAATTAAGGTTGGTAAAGCTCACACTCTTAAATTCGGAGACCTGATTGCAGGATAAAATTTAGTGTATTTTTGATTATATTGGTATTGTCGGTTGAAAGAGCATCAATAAGGGAAAAATTAATACCAGAGATGAAAAAGAGAATCTTTAGCTGAGATCTTTGGATAGATAGAGATTGACAATTAATGAGTAGGTGATGGAAATCACAGTATTCTCCACCACAGTTGGGTAGAGGACAACACGCACTACTGTTGAGTCCCAATTTAAATGAGTGGTGTGGTAATAGTCTATGGCCCAATTAAATACAATGGATATTGATATTGAATATGTTATTATGATTGAATTGGTTAATAGTATCTAGATATATGTACGTTCGAGTTAGACTTTATATACCCGTATTATGGAGTTACAATCATTTTTTTCAATAATATATAAGTATAAAATTATAGATAACGATGAATTAGTAAACAAGCTCAAATATGTGCACCAATGACCCATAGACAACATTTTAGGGGTTGATATTAAAATATTTTTCAAAATGAATGCCACATTAATTCAATTTACCATTTACCATGGTTATATTCATTAAATTATAAATAATTATTATTTTATCAGGGAGGAAAGTTCTCTGTTCTGCCTCCTTCCCAATGGGAGCACATGAGCATAAAAGAGTTGTTAAATTTATTAATAATAATTACGGTCTCAAAAACTTTTTTCATTCTGAACAAATACTATTCTGACAATGAAAGTCCCGATAATATATTTTTTCAATTAATTACATTTCCAAATAAATTTGTTTCCGAGGAAATACTATTCCAATAATATATTTTCGCTCTCAATAGTTTCTAACAAAAATTGTTCTCCAATAAGTCCAGTTCCAACGGAATAATTTCCGATTAAATATTTTTCCAAATCCAAGTGGTTTCTAAAAAATACTTTCAAGTGAATATATGTTCCGAAAAAATATTTTCATGCAAAATAAACCCTCCCCCCCTTCCGAATAGCTAAGTATACAAAGTTACGCATTAAATTGTTGATAATATTTTTATCGATTTCATATTCTATACTTACATACATTTTCAAAAACCAACTAACAATTAAATACTGTTGATATAATTTAATAAGACAGTAAGATACTTTGTAAAATATTATTTTATTGGAGTAAAAATGCGCTAAATTGTTTTTCTCTTAGTTTTCAAAGTAAACTGTGTGTTAATGGTTGAAACATTTGTTTCGAATGTCTATGCATGACATGTCAGTTGTGTACCGAGTGAGTATCGAGTAGGTATTGTTTTTTTTATTGTCGGTTCAACAGAGTTTGATGGACGATTAGTTCCTTGAGTGTGTTTGACCGCTAGATAGCAGCGCGTTTTATGTATTTAGAATTTTTATTTTATAACTATGTATTGATTCAATTTACTGTTTTAAAATAAAAGAATGATTTGTACTATAATCTAATTAATTTTATTTTCGTAGTAATATTACATAGTATTCGATATTAGATACTGAATTTATGTATTACACTTACGTCGATTTTTGTAATTTTTAATTCTTTCTTTTTTTTGTCAATAAATGTAGGTATTAAGAAAATAATATTAGTCCTATTATAAGCTCAAGTTTTCCATGAATCCTTAATATGTTATATTGTTCCAAATATTTTTAACAACATTTTCAACGTTTGAAAAAATAATATAGGTTATTTGTAATAGGTAATATGTTAATTTGTATAAGTAAAAATTTCATTTTAGTGAACCAGATCTTTCTCTGTAGTTAAAATATAATATAATAATTTTAATACGTTTAGTTCTTAAAATTAAATTGAATTTCTAAATACAAAGTCGCAACAAATTAATCGAGATGTAACATTTATAACTTAAAAAAAAAAAAAAAATATAATAAAGTAAAGGACTTACACTTTGATTTAAGTTGTTTATTAAATACTTAGAAACGACGCTGTATATTAAACGTTTTCCAATAATAATGAATCATTGTAAATTTATTGAAATATATTTGTTTTTTATACATAAAATTTCATGTATATATTTATTTCAATTTTATTTAATCCATTTATATGTACATCAAAAATTTTTACTATCAACATTTACAGAATTTTACATCTCATTTTGAGAACTCAACACCTTCAACATGTTGAAGCAACTGCTTAAAAAGCGGTGTACATTTTTTATAATAAATTATTTGTAACCGACTTCTTGTTTCAATGAACTATAAAAAGATACATTTCTCACTGACCATGGTTGTATGATTTAAAAAAAAAAAAAAAATTACCGTTGTTCGTAACCAATTGTTTTATGTAAATGTGTTGTTTATTGTACGTATATTGTTTTACTGTGACTTCAAAACACACAGGACAAATGAATATACTTTTGGCTTTTAAATCGTTCATAACATATCTATAATGTTGTTGTTGCATCGATCAGAACAGAAACTGTCTATTCGGAACGTATTTTATTATATATATATATATATGTATATAAATTTGTTGAAGGAGAGAGAGAGGATAGTAATATTGTAGCAACCGCAGGAGGAATGGACGGAGTGAAACAGTGACTACGAAGAAAAAGGAAAAGGAAACATAAATAATGGGTCCGGTTTTTTTTTTTTTTTTTTTTTTTTGGGTGTCGCGGGGGCAGCGCGTTTATTATTATTGTTATTATATGTACTCGGCTCATATGTGTTTAAGAGGGGCTCGTCTAGCGCGTGCCCTCAGCGTGCGCAGCGTTCGGTCGGACGTTCGGTAGAGATCGGTCACCGCAGTCTTGTCTCCGGATCGTCGCACTAGAGACTTAAACGGTCGCGCAGCGCTTCAGTCAGACGTTGTACCGTCCACCGCACGAGTCCTCTGTGCTGGCGCGTCTGCTGTCGCCGTACCGTTGCTATCATCGCGTATACGAATCGGTGGTAATCGATCGAAGTTAAGTGCGTTTTTTTAGCAATGAATTTTGACTGTCATTTGTGAACACAAAAATTGGTTTTTTTTTTCCTTTTTAATCATTTAAATCGTTTTTATTTCGTGACGCAATAGTTTTTTTTATTTTTTTTTTTTTATTAACACGTGCGTTGAAATATGGCCGAGTTCGACGCGAACAATAACAATGCGTTACCGTTGCCGGAAAAAGCGCAGGAAAAATATTCGTTACGACCCAGAGCGTCGTTGAAACGCGAAGAACCCGACGACGAGCACGAAGATGGTTGGAAACCCTTGACCCGAGGTCGGTCCACCAAACGGAGGCAAAAACCTAAACCTTTGAGCAGGTACTTGTGAACATTTATTAATATTGCTCCAAAAGTTTTTTGTTTGATCATGTATGAATGTGTATGTACAGTGTATATTTAAAAAAAAAAATAATAATTTTGACCTTTTTTACATAATATTATGTTGTGATATAAATAATATAGTTCTATAAATTCGTAAAAAAATGTAAAAAAAATAATTGAAATGAACTAAAATATACAATTAATTTAAATAATATACTATAGATTGCTTAAATTTTTATTTTCATTTTAGTATTTGTCATCATGTTATGGAAAAAATTAACTATCAAAGATAAAAACTCTAGAACATTTTTTAAAAAAAATGTTGTGATTACTTAAAAAAAAATAAATATTCAATAATGCTAAAAAACTTGGTGCATTTCTATTTAATATTAATTTTTGTTTACAATTTTCATCTTTAATTATTTTTATCTTGAAGCTTAGAAAATAAATAAAGTAAATTGCAATTTAATATTTAATGCAAATTGGTGGAAAATTATGTACTTCAATTTTTTTGTAATATTTCATAAGAAAAATAAAGAGTTATATTTTGAAGTAAAAGTTAAAAAAATTCGGTTCGTATAAATCTCCTATTTTCAGGATTGAATTTGTATACTGAATCGTATTAATAATTTTTTGTACGTTTAATTTTTTTTACTAACCACGGATTTTAATAGGTTTATATACCTTAAATTTTCAGTCATCTATTTTTTTTATACTTGTTTACTATATTTTTTATACTATTTGTTTTTTATTTGTCTCACTGATGTTATATATCAAATTTAATATTAATATAATATATTTACCTGGGAAAAATTAATTGTAATTGTAAATCATAGTTTAATTTGATATAAATTTAAAATTAAATATTTGATTCCTAAAAAATTGTTTTTGAAATAAAAATCTGCTGATATATCGTTTTTAGACTTGTATTAAGCTAATCGTCTTATACATTAAGAGGACACCGCGCCCGAGGGCGGTGAATTATTATGATTGAATAGACATTTATAACTGTAGGAGAACCCAATGTATACTCGTCCTCTACTAATGCTTTTAAATTAATATTCCTGTAAGATTGCCATCGTAAATCGATTTAACATCGTTATAGTTCTTTGTTATAAACTAGTCATAAAATAATAACAATACGCGTTTCCTTTCGTTTGACTTATTTTTATCCAATTTAAACATAATATTTGCTTTTATTAACTTTATAAGAGTATTAATTATTTCATTATTTTAAAATGATTTATAACTAAATGCAATATTAAATAATATTAACACATTTTATGCATTTAATAAATGTTGATTAGATAATCGTACATTTTTTGGTTTTCTATGGTTTCGCCTTGGGTTTACGAATATGTAATGAATGTGTTCAGGGTGGGCGCAATCTATGAGAGCGATAAATGTTTGATTTGTTTTTTCTTTACATTTAACACGGGGAGAAATGTTTGATCGTATTTAAAACGAAAAACACACAAACACCATTTCCAAGTCCTGTCGAAAATAAATATTCCAACATGCGTTGTCACTCGTGTACTATTATTTTAAAAAAAATATGTTGACTTTCGATTTCAGTGGAAAAATTCTGAACCTCTTGATGGCACTATATTAACACGGTTGTTTTATTTTACTAGTCATCGTGAATAACATTATGAAAAAGGAACATGTATATTTATGAATTTATGATGACGTTAATTATTCGGATATTTGGACTCGTAAATTATGTTAATATCTTTTGTTGAAAAAAAAATGGATTAAATAATGTTCGTCGATTATTTTAAAAATAAAAAAAATAAAATTTTCAAAGAAGAATTTAAGAATATTGTACTTGATACTGATAACCAAATCTGAATTTTTCCGATGATTATTCAGTAATCAACAGTAAACAAAAAATCGTTTACCAATGCGGTTAAATTCGTTGAATCCCAGTGATCGCGGAGAGGAGTGTAACAAGAGTTCTTGTATCTGTCTCTATTTTTTTAATTTTTTTTTAACTATAAATGAAAATAAACGGTGACTCATTTGTTAAAATATCGAACATACATGGATACATACCAAACATACAAACATTCATGCATACACGTATAGAAATTGAACATGTACGCGTCGCACACCGTACTTTGTCGCAGTGGTGCGTTTAGATGATTAATCTGTCCCTATATTGGTACGTTACGAGTGTGATAAAATATTTAATGTACCGTCTTATTCAGGATAAATTGAATCTTATTTCATATAAGTGAAACGAAAGCAAACGCGTATATTTCTAGCCAATACTTGACCATACGAAACACTTCTCCGGTTTGTGTCATCGAACAAAATCCTTTATATCGAGTTTTATACACTACGACGACTTGTACCAAGAAGGTTTCATTCGTTCGAACACCGCCGTCCCGATCACAAATGGTATTTCACGCGTTTGTCGTTCGGACCACGAATCGATCTCATTCGTAGTGATGATCGTTGCCCGTGTACTTCTCGTATTGGAACACAATCGCAACGTACGATACCTTATCTTACCACCACCACTACTGCCCTCCGCAACTAGTAGATTATAAGGCTGTTACATACAGGCGAAATTAACCTTTTTTTTAAAAGTCAATGTGTAAACTGCGGCGAGAAAAAATTTAACGTTATACAATCAGCGGTAATTTATTTTATATACCTACGATATTATGTACTATATCGTACCTTAATCATATGTACCTATGTGTACTTATAAACGTTTAATTCATTATGTTATGTAGCGTTTTGCGTACAAAATATGGTAAGGTAAATCCAAATGTATTTTTAAGTTTTAGAGAAATAAACTAAATATCGGTTACTTTAATTTTGGCAATACTAGTTTGTACCTACTTACTAATGTTAAACGTCATTAGTCAAAGGATTCATTTTTAATTCAACATGATGCAATTTATTGCAACGTTTAGCCAGTATGGGAAACAATTTTAAATTCAAATTTAAATATGAATCGAAAATAAGTGGTGATAAAATTGGTCTCCAATAAGGTAAAACTTAACTACCAGAAAAAACAGTTTTGGTACATAGTCATGAATGGGATTCCACAAATGAACGTCAGTCGTAAGTAATAATGATATCAAACGAATATGTTTAAAAGCAATATAAACGAAATGTCATCTAAAATTGTTGTAAGTTCCATTGCGTCTAATTAGACGTCGTTAAACTTTCAACTACTTCTACCGACTTCTACGACAATAGTGAGTCAGATATTAAGTACGTTTCGTTCAAACTTAAAAATATATTAGGATTTACCTTACCGTTTTGTTCGCAAGACGCAGCAACACATAGGTGGGTACATATGATTTTTAGGTACTGTAAAGCGAATAACATCGCAGGTATATTAAATAAATTTCCGCGACTTGTACTATAACGTTTTCTCGACGCGGCGGTTCACACGTCGGCTTTTAAGAAACCTGTCTGGATTTTGCCGCAGTTTACCGTCTGCCGATCGTAACAATTATTTATATTTTTTATTATTGATTTCATTAAAATTTATTACAAATAACATATAAAGTAATTATAATAGAAGGATAAAGAATACATCTACTTCTACAAGCCTAGGCTTGTGGTGGAGCCATAAGTGGTAATTTGGTGAAATTAGTGGGGGAGCTGAACATTATTTGCTTATTATCCCCGTACGCAATAAATTTATTTCAACAAGGTAACTTACAAAGTTTGACAATTTGACATGCTCAACAATTTAACCAAAAAAATAATTAATTTCTTTATCTTAAACATTTTTGGAGTATGTATTCTAAACAGAAATTATTAATTAATTAAATTAAGCAACCAATGCCAGTATTATTACATGTTATTAATATTACATTAATTACGATCGTTCCAAGTCACGACAATAAGTTTGTAAAATCTTACGAATTTGATTTAATTTTTATTACAGACATTTTTTTTTTCAGTTATTAAAAATGCATTTTACAATTATAATAATTATTGTATTTTTAGTCACTTAACCATTTTTAGGGATAAGGGGGCTAAGACCTGTACTTTACAATTCTGGGGGGCTTAGTCCCCTCAAGCCCCCCCTTCTATTACCAACTATAGGTGGATCAGAGTGTTATCAAGTAAAATTGTCAATTGTTAACCGATTGCGATTGCCACAGGTACCGCAGGAAAACGGCTAACGCGCGGGAACGGAGTCGGATGCGGGAGATCAACGAGGCGTTCGAGGCGCTCCGCCGGGCCGTGCCGCACCTGGCCGTGGAGGCCCACAACGAGAAGCTGACGAAGATCACCACGCTCCGGTTGGCCATGAAGTACATCTCGGCGCTCAGCGGTCTGCTGACTACCGCGCCGGCCACCGCGCACACGTCGTCCGTAGCCGCCACCGCGGCCACCGTACTGTCCACGCTGTCATCGTCGCTGTCCACCTCGTCGTCGTCGTCGTCCACGTCGTCGTCGTCGTCGTCATCGTC